AAGTTTAGAAACTGACAAAATCTTTAGGGTTAATGGTCATCATCTTAAGCATTTTTTGATGTTTCTGAAATTGCTACTATTGAGGAAATTCACTTGATTGATCCAGTCTATGAATAATTGTGCAGGATTTGGATTATGTCTAGCCAAAGACGTTAAAGAAAAACGCTACTGGGAGGCAACCAAATTATTTTGATTTAGTTTATTTTTAATTTAATTTTCTTTGATATTGTTTATTTTTGTTCTTAGTTTTGTATTAAAATAATGTTTTTTCTTTCTTTTTGGCAGGAAATGAGGTTCCATAAGATGTAGTGTAAATGGAGGAAAAAGAAAAAATGTTTTCAAAAGTTGGCAAGATGAAATTTATTACACGTGCCATGCCTTGTTCCAGTTATGTGTAATGAAAAATTTCAGAAGACTTTAATGCAAATGATGGGTCCCACGACTTCCAAAAGCAAGTCTTCTGATGAAAATTGTCAGAAGACTAAATTTAAAAAACGTGCCCTATGTGTTACAAGATGAAGTCTTCTGCACAACACAAAAAAAGAGTCATTTTTCCGTTGGTCCTCTTAGCAGCTATAACTTTTCATCAGAAGACTAAATTTAAAAAACGTGCCCCATGTGTTACAAGATGAAGTCTTCTGTACAACACAAAAAAAAGTCATTTTTCCGTTGGTCCTCTTAGCAGCTATAACTTTAATTTCAGTTTTCTTCTTACTAATTATTAGAATCTGTTACTTCCATTTTTTTTTTTGAAAAAAAAGAAACAAGAAACAATTCCTTTTTGGTTTAGAATTCTTTTTCATTGGGCATACTATTTTTTTTCCTTCTTTCTCTTTTTAAGGCCACAAAAACTCAGGTTATTCATAAAGATTTGCAGCGTTCGTAAGCTTTAATTAAAACTTCAAATTTCGAGGAAACAACCATCAAATGCCGCTGTTTCTCTATCACTTAGAGTTGCCAACTATTCAACAAAATCTTCATCATCTCCATCTCTGTTCCCTGCTGTTGGTGCTGACTTGCTCGTGTCGTCATTACTACTGATTTGTCGTTGCTGTTTCAACTGTGTTATCTTTAATGCTGCGTTAGAGTCATCGTCATTGTTGTTCGGGAGCTATATTGTGGCTGACCAGTTCTTGCGGTTGCATTGAATTGTTCATTGGTCGAAATTCATGTTCAATCAAGCTATTGTCGGTTGGACGTCAGGAAGTTGAATGCCATCAATTTGTTCATTGGCCACCGTTTGAAGTTGCCTAATTAATTTGCTCTTGAAGACAAATTTGACAATTGCCAAAACAAAAGGACCAAGCTTCCAACCAAGACTCTCCAATCAATTCTAGAGCCGAACAAGAAACGAAGAGTCCCAACAGAGCCTAAGAAACGATCTAGATTGGGCATCGCTAAGGGAATTTTACCACTTTCTCCTTCCGAATTAGGGGGTGAATTAACTCAACTCACCAAGGAACAAACAATGACATTGCACATGTTGAAGTCTCGATCATTTGCTCCTTGTAAGTACATTCATACTCCCACATTGGATCAATTAAATATTGCAACTGAGGTGAAAAAATTATTTACAGCAATTGGGTGGCAGCAATATTTGACACTTAATTATCCCACTTTTCTTGAATCGTGTTGGAAATTTTATAGTACTTTCAAATTTGTAGAGTTGGACAACTTCATATTAGATACTCCAAATGTGGTTAGTTATAGGCTGTTGGGGTCGAGTTGAGTCACTTAATTACTTAATTTAATTACTACTTAGATTTCATTGATGAAAATTCAATTAAATCTAAGGAGTACATCGAGAGTGTTTGTGACTATATTGAACCCTTTGCTTCATATTATGTCGGGATTTGGAAAGTGATGTCAATTGATAAGTTTAGATATGACACTAGTCAATCTAAGAGTTCTTATCTTAAAGACCCGATTTTGAAATATATTCAAAGGTTTTTCGCCTTTAATTTTTCTGGAAGGAAGGATGCTTCAGGAACTATGACAAAAGACGAATTTTATTTTATTTGGTGTATGTTGAACAATGTCAAAGTAAATGTTGGTTGTTGGGAAGTGACACAATTTCAAACGGTGCTCACAAAGAAGAATAAGCCAATGATTTTAGGTTCGCTTATCACTAATTTGACTATTCGACGTGGGGTGTTAAATCTTGATGAATATAAAGATTTACATGTTGCTCACCAGTCAAAACCTTTGGATTTGGTTGTTTAGAGAGGATGAGGGTCATTTAGTATAAAGATAACTGTTATCAGTTTTCACTACCGGGAGAGATTAGACTCACAGTCAGGCAGGGTCCCCAGCCTATCAGCTCTTCCCGTACTTCTCAAGTTGTAGATGGAACTGACTCCTCAATTGCAACACCATCTTCTTCTCCTTTTGATGATCGACTTCAGCAGTTGGAAAGTCGCCTTTCCAGGATTGAGCAACAGATGTCGCGAATAGAACGAAACTTGGATGCTTACTTCACCTCGGTTGGATTCACACCTCTAATTTTCCCTCACACTTAGTGCTTGGCAATACTCGCTCTCTCCTGTCCGGGAAGTTCTCTTATTTTTCTTTTCTATTTACTTTCATACATTGAGGACAATGTATCATTTAGGTGTGGGGAAGGAGAATAATTATGCAATTTGGTGTTTTTTGTTTTTCATTCGTGGTTTTTCTTGTTTCAAAAAAAAAGAAAAAAAAGAAAAAGCAAAAAAAATCCTTGTTTTGAGTTGTTTTTTTTAGTTCAATTTGTGGTTCCTTGTTTAGCTTTTCGGGTTTGAAAAAACAATAAATAAAAAAAGATGTTAATATTTTTTTCTTTGTTAGTTTGTCCTTATTCATTATATTATCAAGTTAAAATAGGATTAAGATGCAAGTATGAATAGTTGAATTCTCTTTGCTAGCATTATTATCTTATTGTTTGATGATGGATTCGAACGATGAATGTGCAAGGTTTAACTCAATTTTAATAAGTCATTGTGAGTTTTGGACCTTATGAGCATTTCATTATATCTTGTTGAGTGATACATCACACATGGTTTGAATATTCTAGAGGGTAAAATATAGAAAACCCCCCTGTAGTTAAGAAAATTGACACAAAACCCCCTCATTGTTTAGAAACACCCGCTTAACCCCCCGTGTGCTTTGGACCTTTTTGGATTTTACCTGCTAACTGGTTGGGCAGCTAGCAAGTGATATTAACGCTTCCTAATGGTCACTTGTGATTGGAAAAGACTCATTTATGGAATAAGATATTAGTTTTCATTCTAATTTTATGCTTTATGTCTCTTACAAATGAAACCCACCATAGTTGTAGTTCTGCAAATGAAAAAAATGGGCAGAGAAATGTAAAACTAAGACAAAAAAACATAAGAGTGCAACGTAGCTTTGGAGGGGAAAAAAAGAACTTTAGAGGGGAAAAAAAAGCTTTAAAAGGAGAAACCAAAAATGTCAAGCTCTCAAAACTATGGCTGTGGATCGAGGGACCTAAGGTACCAAAACCGGTGATGTTTCTGCAAGAATAAAACAAAGATTAAGGTAGTGGAATCTAAAAAACTATCAAAAGGTATGTTGTATTTTGTATGTGAAACTGGTGCTTATTCATTTTGGGCATGGTGCAACCCAATTAGTAGAGAATGAGGCACTAATGAATCATCCTGCCAAAGTACATATGTGGAAGGGGTTTCACCAATTAGACCTACAATAGTGGAAAGATTTTTCATGTCTGGGCAAGGGATGGAAAGTAATAATTATAACATTATTATTGGATTACAGTCGAAGATTCATAATGTCGAAATAATGATGGGGCCGATGAAGAAGATGATGATGGTGTCTGTAGTTGTGTCTCTTTTGTCACTAGTTGTTATATGTATGAGACGAATTTTGAAAAAAAAAATTATAATGCAAAAGTAGTGTAATACAATCTGGAGTTGGGACAAATTTTAGTGTATAAAATGTGTAGAAAACAAGGGAGTTGGGCATCATAGTAGATTTTGTAATGCCTAATATGTGGCCACATCCTGGTTTCAATTGCATGTAATGAAGTACACATTCAGGTTTCAATTAAGAAGAACGAATGAAGCTGCTTTTGTTATAGGACATTTAAAAAATACATGACAAAAAAACTAAAAGACCCGAGATTTCAATGCAATGAACTTGTCAGATTAAGTCATCTTCAGTAAAGATATGACCAGCAATACTGCCATCTACAAACACAAAAACGTGGCATATTGCCACAACCATACCACAATAGTATCCTACCATAACATGGCAAAAAATTTTAGTTTTCTAATTCAATAAATATTACAATCCAATCTCAAAAAGATTCACTGGCAATACTGCCACAAATGCCACAACAAGACAATACGTTGCCACATCCATACCATAATGGTATCAGTCAACCAAAACATAGTAAAAAATCTGAGTTTTCTACTTAACTTAACTAGTATATTCAACTAACAAAAGCGAGATAACTGCAGTTTATTTTCTTAGTCTCTTGGAGCCACAATGTCGCAGCCTTGACATCCTTGCAGTTGGTTGCTTTCTCTTTGAAGATCTACTTTGTTGGCTTTCTTGGTTGGTACCACTTATAGGCTGACTTGATCCCTGCATATAAGTCCTCATGGTTAGTATGTAAGTAGATCTCACCACCAAAAAATAGGCAGTTAAGAACTAGTACCTGTGAAAGAGTAGTAACAGTAGTACTTGAGACACTAGCCTGAGTTACAAAAGTTACGGATGTTGCATTTGAAACTATTGGATCAACTTTAGGTGCCTATAGTTCAAATTGAAATGAGTGAGTGTATAAGTAGCAACAAAACAAACTAAATCATAGTTTTGGTTCTGAAATGTTACATTACTTTGTAAAGTTTGGACTTAGGGTAAATTACTATTTTGCAGGTTCTTATGTTATGTCCAGATTTCAAACACCTCTGATAGTAAACTACAAGACCTTTCCTGCTTTCTTTCTGCTGATTTGTAGGCTCTTCTGGACTCTTCTTCCTCTACTTTTTTGGTCTACCAGACTGTTTTTTCACCAATGGTGGGTTCAAATATTGCAATTTGCTATCCACACAGAATTGCTTCGAAGGAACGGGACCAATTGTGAAGTTGTAGGCCCTTAAATATGCTTCCCTGTGGTAACAAGCATCAACATATTGCTCGAATTCCAACTTTCTGCTCTGAATGCAGGCAACCGTATGCACACATGGAATGCCACTAAGTTGAAAATGACCATAGGTGTATGTTTTCATCTCCAAATTGACAACATTTGTCCTTCCATAGCCATCAACTTCCAAATTTCCATTTCCTCCATAAATCGCAACACAATTTCTTGGCTTTATCTTCAGTTTCTCTAACTTCTCATGAATGTTTGGACATAAAGTGCCACCATGTTTCAGCATGCCCTCTCGTTTTGTTATCAATCTTTGCATTAATCTCCTCCGAATCCACTCCAGCATTGTTATTATTGGCTCACTTCTAATTTTTAGAGTGTAATCATTCCATGACTCATTCATGTTGTTAACGCATGTGTTACTCCAAGCAGCTATACTAAAGTGGGCTCTAAACCATAGTTTTGGAGACAACCGTTTGAACCATCCCGCAGCCGTTAGCTTGTCACCTTCCTGTGGGTCAGCTCTTTCAAGATTTGCTAGCCGGCATGCTTGCTGTTGCAGCAACTTTCCAAAACATATCTCTAAGGTTTTGATTCTTGAATCTTTGTTTGAAGTTCTCGAACATAGGTTTCAAATAGAATCTGTGCTCTGATTTGGGGAACAATTCCTCAATTGCATGGACAAGACCCTTTTGCCTATCCAAAATGAAAGTGTAAGCCACTCATTTGTTTCCTCTTCCAATTTGGGTGATTAATGCCTGCAAAAACAAACTCCAACTGTCGTAGTTCTCTATCTCGACAACAACAAAGGAAATAGGGAATATATTTTCATTGGCATCCCTACCCAAGACTGTAAGCAGCTGACCTCCGAAGGGACTCTTCAGAAAGCAGCCATTTAACCTATTACAGGTCTACATTCTTCTAGGAAACCATTTTCCAAAACACCTAATCCATAATATATCCTCTAAAATATAGCCATTTCCTCAACACTTCGCCTATCAATTTACAATGAAATATGACTATCAGGATTGGATTTTTTTACAGTAGCTACGTAATCCCAAAGTCTGTGGTATTGCTCCATGTCATTTCCTCGAAATGCCTCTAATGCTTTCTGCTTTGTTCTGGCAGCTTTTTTCTGACTAATGTCTAGCATAAACAATCTTCTTGTCTCATTCACTATGCCAGGAATACTGCACCCAAGATCATCCCTCACTTTGGTTTGAAATTTATTATTTACATATGTTGAAGTGGAATGTCTATTGTTGTAATCTCTGTCACAATGGTGCTCTCTCTTAAGAGTTTTGATCATAAATATCTTTGTTCTCTAGATTTTGCTTGCATGAATTCTCCAACTGCACCCCTTTGCACATTTAGCTGTGATTCGAGAGCCTTCATTTCTGATGTATTTGTGCTCATATCCCTCCCTAATTTCCCATTCCATCAAAGCCTCTCTAAATTTATAGAAGCTAGTAAATTTATGGCCAACCTTTAGTTCAAAATGCTCTTTCCTAAACTCTTTCTCCGCATTGAAGTAACTGTAACCAGGGATGCTTTCATCATCAGATCCTATCCCTTTGTCAAACTGGTTTTCATCATCCTTTACTGGCTCATTCCAGTCCTCTTCCTGCTCATTGGCATGGCAGCTATCTTTCAGACCTGATGTTGGATGACTCCCCACTTCATGGGTCTGGTTCTTTACTTGTTTTCTTGATTTCGATTGTTGATCTTGTTGTTGATGCTTTGAATCAGTTTGTTTTTTGGATTGGGCCTGCTGTTGATCTAAATCAACTTGTTTTCTAACATTTGCTTGCAGATTTTCTTGTTGCTGCTCTAAACCAACTCTAACAGAATTTGCAGATTTTAGATTTATAGATGCCTGTGTTGATCCTTGACCATTTAAACCTGCAAATATATCATTATCTTCAGGCCGTTCTAGTGCTTCTCTTAGCCAATCAGGAAGATCTGAATAATCTGGTATGACATCATCTTCTTCTCCGTCTTCATAAACTATTTTTTCTCCCCTAAAATTAGTTGTTTCTTTTGTTAGATCTCTCTCAATTGTTGTTTCTTCTGCTGAATTCCTTGTAGGAGACTGCTGGACCTCTGAGGATGTGTCAACTTTTCTTTCTCTTTAAATAACTGCCTGACTGACTTTCTTGCATTTAACTTTACTCTTTGCATTTGGCTTTTTTTAATCATTTGTTGTCTTCTTTCTTTTGGATTTGTTAGCTGAATCATATATGTTCTCTCTATGTGGTCCCACAAAAGCTGGATCCGACTCCATTTGTAATGATCCTTCTTTATAGATGTCTTTTCCTCTAGACTTAATGTGTGGAATGTATTATTGTCCTCATTCCCAATTACTAAAGGGTCAATGTTATCACTGCCTTTAATAGTTGAGGACAAATTAATCTTAGCATGCCAATTATCATGATATGGAAGTGCAAGTAGGCCATTACCAGTCACTCTCTAGTATAGTAATTTTCCTTCCGGAGACACAATTTCAATGGGATCAGGCCCCTTCTCAGCATATATGTGCATTTCTGGAAGCCCCTCATAACATGTTGTCAATAACTCGATGTCGACATCATCTTTAATGCTAACAACACCAACATCAATGTCATGAAAGGGGATAGAGTACCAAAAATTCATATTTGTTACGCCGCGCTCAATTGTGTCATACAGTTTTTGAAACTCAAATGGAGATAATTCATCAGGGTCCCATCCACAAAATACCCTCACGTATTCGCCAGTGTATCTAATTCTCGATTTCCATTTGAAATATCCACCATAATGCATGTGTATGTCTATGGTCTTAAATGGATTATCTCACATTCTTATGCACCGAAACCAAAGTAACGGAGATTAATTTACTAATTTGATTTTCAGATGTATCGAAAAGGATAGGCAATATTTCATACACTTTCGGTTTCAAAAAAATATAGTCAACATTAACACACTTATCTAGAAGGATAAAAAATATAATCAATACCAGTATGGACCACAATAGTCCTGATTACTCCAAAACGACCATACATTTTGTGTATTTAGCAATTTTTTTTTTAAAAAAATTTCACAAAGATTGTCGAAAAAATTTCTGACTAAGCCAAAACTGACATTTTGCGTATTTAGCAATTTTTTAAAAAAATTTTCCACACAGATTGTCGGAAAAACTTCTGACTAAGCGAAAACTGATACTTCTTTTATCAAGTTTCAAAATATTCCCAACAATCTACTACCAAAACACCTGTCATCAAACAAATCAACTCCTCTAAAATTTAGGGTTTAGATATGAGATTACCTGGTTAATAGCTATGCTCGATGCGTTGCAACCCTCGACCGATCTACACAGAAACGCCGACCGATCTTCACAAAAATGCTGACCGATCTGCACAGAAACACCTTCTTCTTGGTTGTAGGTTTAGGGTTTCTCTCTTTACACATGAAGTACCACTCAATTTTTACTAATTGCATATGTACTTTTCATATATTATAAATGAGATTATTTTTGGTATTTCATATTGTTACTGACTTCCCAACCGGTTAGCAGATAAAATCCAAAGAAGTCCATGGCACAGGGGGGTTAAGCGGGTGTTTCTAAACAATGAGGGGATTTCGTGTCAATTTCCTTAACCAGAAGGGGGTTTTCTGTATTTTATCCTATTCTAAAACTTGCATTGTTATATATGTTGAGACTACATTTTGAATTTGTGCATTAAAATGACAAAAGGAATAGGTTTAACCCCTTTTGACTTTCTAAAAACCTGCCTTGAGTATATTATCCTTAGTTAACCATGTCGAGTTTAGCCCCTTTCTGTGTTATGTTACCCTCAATATAGTCCTTAACCCTTTATTATTAGACTTTGTGACTTTCGAACCTTGCATCAAAAGAATGTGTTGATTAGTTGCATGAAACTTTGTGTACCCCTGTGAATTGGACATTGAAGGAGATTCAAGTTATTGCTTGTAGCCAAGTCAGATAAAAAAAAAGAAGAAAAAAATGTTGAAAAAAATAAAAAAATGCAAATTTTTGAATTTGTACTTCACTTGGTAGGTTGTGCAGAAATTTGTTGAAGTAATGCAAGCTCAAACCAACTTGAATATGGAAGTACATGCTGTTGTTGAGATTTGAATTCATGCAATTAGTTCATGCATTTCATTTGATGTATTTTCACATGAATTTCATTTTTGTTTAATCCTTACTTAAGCCATATTACATCCTTGTCAAAGTTCCTTGAATTTTTGCATTGAATTTATATTTAGTAGTGGAGATGTGATATATTTGCAAGCTTATGGCAATTTCATTTTATGATGTGATTTGAGTGTTCAATGAATCCCTAAATATTTTGAGTGCATAGAGTGATATTCTAGTGAGGGTAGTTAAACCTTGTGCATTTTGATTTCGAAAACATTGTCAATGAGATGGATAATTGGTGTTAGTATTTGATAACTCTTGCTATGAAATACTTGTTATTTTAATTGAGTTTTGACTTGATTTTGTAATGAATGGTGTCTAGGAAGTTGTATGCTTGAGGACAAGCATTGCTTAAGTGTGGAAAAATTTGATAGCGAGATAATTGTACATGTTATTTATTAATATTCTATCTTAATTTTGACCAAATATTATGCTAATTGATTGATTTTGCTTATATTTGGTGTTTTGTGTTGTTATAGGGCTTTGTTGTAGAAAATAACACTTCAAATTAAATTTTTCAGAAGACTATTTACTCCAAAGCGTGCCTACGTTAGAGATTGAGAAGTTGAAAATTGGAGATGGGACCTGGAAATTATCTCTCAAATTTGAAATTATTTTTTGGATGTTTTATTAAGAGTTTTTATCAGAATAGAGAACTTGTTTAATTAGTATTTTATTTTGGAATAAGTTAGTTTCAGATAAGTTTTTGAAGTTGATTAGGAGAGGAAATAAAAGAAACAAATCAACTTATGGTTGGAGACATTTTCTTAATAGACTCCTTGGTGACTTGAAAATAGGGAGGAGACTTGTAGTTCGTTGGGCTTCTTTTTCGTCTTTTCAAAATAACATTTATTAGGTTTCTTTCTGTTTTACAAGTTTTACAAAAACAAGCCTTGTAGAAAGACTTTCATGGAGATTTGTGACTGTGTTTTCTTCATGGAGCAGAGCTAAAATTATGTCTAGTTGAGAAGTAATCAAGGCACGGTTTTATGATCAATTGTGAGACCTTTTAATCTTTTATATGCTTGATTTTATATGTCATGAGTATTTAATTATTTCTTGTATTTCATTGGTTACTATCATTTGGGTTTAGTTGAATAATTTAGCCAACTATTCAATTGTCTGAATGATTTAATGCCAATTAAGACATCAAGTTCATAATACTTGATAGCTTAATATTAGTGGCAGATGGCGCAATTTCATTACTTCACAGGTAGTCTAATTTGTGCCGTGTGCTGTGAAAATAATTAATCTAGTTTAAATGAACTTGCATATGTGTTTATTAACTAGAATTGAGTCTCTCTAATATTTAAGGGTGTGAATATATTAAATCCTAAGAGCGTCTTTAGAATTATCTACTTTACAAGGGAAGTAGTTAACAAGTATCTCTTGACTACCGAGAAATTAAGGAGAGATTGGTGGTTCGACAATTGTTGAATTGCTATAACCAATTTATTTGTAAATATATGAGTTATTTTCTAGTATCAGTGATCAATTGAGTTGAACCGTTGTCAAGATTATTTCCTTGACTTGATTTTGATAACTAATTTATTCTTTAATTTATATTATTACATTTTACCATTTTATTTAATTTAATTATAATTTCAAAGAAATGCTACAACTTCCCCCCTCAATATTCATCTCATTTCTCTGTGAGTAATAAATCTACTAGTTCGCTGAGGAGATGACCCTACTAATCACTATACTTATTAACTTTTGGGGAGTGGGTAATTTTATTTTTGGTGGTTTGACACCCACCACATAATCAGTAATTTGCGAAAATATCTCAACAATTAGTGGATAATTCTAGTCTAGTAAGATAGGACGTCAATTGCAAACACAAGACATCAACTACCTTGTATCCAAGACATAGAAGGAGACTCGTAGCAGGATATGTAAGTTTCTAAGCTTCGGATGCTTCCTATTTTTACGATCTATTAGTTTGTGCGAATAATCTGGATAATAATGTGGATAAACACCTAGACTTATACGCTTCTATCTATTGAAGTGAATTTTTGTACACCTAGAGTTATAGTACTATTACAATTGATGGTTCCTATTTTTTTGATCTCTTAGTTTATTCCAATAATTTGGATAAAATTGTGGATAAACACCTGGATCTGCATGTTGCTATCTATTGAAGTGAATTTTTGTAGACCTAGAGTTGTATGACTCTTACGATTAAGAAAATTTGTTAGAAAAATCTAGATAAAACCTAACTATTCACTGGTTTGCTATTTATATGTTTATGATTTGGGGCATTTTAAAAACATAAATGGTTGAATTAGTTAGTGTATGAGTTGGAAAAGGATTTATATAACATATGTTGTTGGAAAGATAGAAACTTTACGAAAATTGCAATTTAATTATGATTTACATCCCTATTATTATTCTAGTTAGATTGTCATTATCCTTGGCAATTCAACAGTCAAATTGGAGCCAAATTCTTGTGTGTAGTTGTAAAATGTGTTCTTATCATATATGCTTTCTTTACATAAAGTATAGACAACATACTTGGGTGACTAAACTACACTACATATATATATGTATGTATATATTGCATTTGTCTGATCAACAAAACACAACGAACAAGAAAAAGAAAAAGAAAAAGAAAAAGAAATGGTTGAGATACACTTGTATTTTGATGGAATTTTTAGAAATGAGCCAAGCATAGTCTATGTAGGAGACTATAAGCTAGTTATAAGACAGAGATCCAAGTAAGTTGTTCATAGTTAGACTATGTAGAATGTTTAAGGTAATGGATAAGGACAGAACTAGGGTCACTTTTTGGTGGTGTGTGCCTGATTTGGATATGGGGATTGGATTGCTACCAATCAGAGGGAATGATGACATTAATTTGATGAATGATTCCCATCTGCATTTTCCCGTAAGAGTGATATATAGTGTAAGTGGGGACCAAGCATTTGAAAAGCCTTCTCACCATGGTGATAGGGTCAGCATGTTGCAAAAAAAGGGTACAGAGGCTAACTATATATGTGAAGAAACTGCGGATAAGGGGTTACGAAGATTACAATTGGACCAAATATGGACAACAAAATAGGGGTTCCTGTGGACAAAGCAAGAAAATAAAAAAAATGCTAAGCCTCATTGGTTAGATGAGGGACTTAAGCCTATATAGGATGAAAATATTTTTGCTGTGATGCCATATAAGAATGTGTCTGCCAAGCCAAAAATTGTCCTAACCTCAAAGTGCATGTGTTTGCTCTGAAAGATGATCTCAAAAGTCCAAAGAAAAAGGCTACAGTTGACAAGCCTACTATTCAATCTAGGGAAACAATAGCAGAATACTACTCTATATGTTCATACCTAAATGATAATGGAAGTCAAGTAGAACAACAGCCTAAAAAAGATGTTGAAGGCTTGAACAATGAAGTTAGAGTGGAAGCCAATTGGAATGAATTTGCAATCCCAGATAAGGAGCTGCTGGAAAGGACTGGTTCTGATAGCGAAGAGGTTTAAGAATATCTAGACTTATATTCAGAAGTTGAGTTTGAGAAGCCTTTTGAACTTAAAGTCGGCCGCAATTTTATAGATTTCAGATTATTCAGGATGGCTTTATTGGAATGGAATATAAGAGAGGACT